GAAAGGCATAGTAATCTTGCAATCAGGTGTAATATCTGAGGTGCCTACTTAGTGGCATTCTCTTTGAACAACTAGCCCAGTAGCTCCTTACTTCCTTTCTAGTGTTTTGCCTTTTAACAGCCTTCCTAAGGCCTGTAGTATCCCCTTAGGTCACTAGAGGGCGCTCAGGTTGCAAGTGTCTAGGCTTTTCTCTGGCTCTGATGGTCAGGTTTGGAGTTATATGATGGAATATTACTCAACGTATTTTAAAAATGCAAACTTTATGGCTCAGAAACCCCCAACCCATCTTTAGGCTTTTCTTTCTAGTCACAACTCCCCTAAAAGTCCTTTCCCACCCACCTACCCCCCATCACAGAACTAAGATATCCAAACATAATGTGGCTTTATAGTTTATTTAGCCATGAAAATTGGAAGAAAGAAAAAATAAGTCAATTATTCTCACATAGAACCATATTCCACCAGCCATCTTCTAACACTTCTCCCTCTTGGCCTCTCAGTATTTCAAATGTAACCAAGAGACTCTTCAGTTCCATTTACCTGCAGCTGGTAGAAAGGAAGTGTATGAGTTTGGGGAGGGGAGCTGGGGTAGGGAATACATCTAGGACCCCTGCTCCAGAAGATTGGTGAGAGGCTCTCTACCCCAGTATGTGTCATAATAGCTAGGGATCCAGGATTAACCTAGATTGCCTCCAAAGTACAGGTCTGATAGTCTTGGTCATTTGAATGCCAAACTGTGACATCAGCTGTGGTAATGGCTCTTGTTACAGTCACCTTATGGAATCCTTGTAATTTCAATCTACCACCCAGTCAGAATCCTGGTAGCTATTGTAAGCAGACCTCCAAATCACTCATTCTTTTCTAAATAAGTTCATTTCTTGGTTTACAATTTTTCCCAGTTTCTTCTCTCCAACTCCTGCCCTCATATTAGGTGACTTCACTATACATTTTCACTTTCCCTCAGATACCCTTACTCAGTTCTTCAACCTGCTTACTTCCTGTGACCTACTTCTGTATCCCACCTCAGCCATAGAAAAATGGTTATTACCCTTGATCTTGCTTTCACCCACAACTGTACCACTTTCATTTCCAAGAATTCCAAAATCCTCTTATCTGACCATAATCTATTAGCTTTATGCCTTTTTCTCTGTCTTCCCTTGTCAAATCTGACTTTCTGTCTACACTGTGACCTCCAGTCCTTTGACCTCTCAGTTCTTTCCCAGGCTGTCTCCTCTGCACTAGTTATTATCTTCTTTTACAGAACAAAAATTGAGATCATTCACCATGAGCTCCCTCTTCTCCCTTTTCCTCATCTCCTTTCACTCAGGCGTCTTTTGCTACTATCTCCTCCTTCACACCTGTCTCACGTGATGAAGTGGCCTTACTCCTTACCAGGGCTAATCCCTTTGCTTGTTCTAGCAATCCTTTCATGCCATTTCTTCCAATAGATTGCCCCCCCTCCACCCCATCACTTATTTTCAGTCTCTACTTGTCTATTGGGTGCTTCCCTACTGTCTACAGACATGCCCATGAGCCCTCATCCTCAAAAATGTCTCTTTTGGCTTTTGTGGCTAAACTCCTTGAGGTTGTCTACAGCAGGTTCCTTTACTTTCTCTCCTCTCACTCTCTTCTTAACCCCTTACAATCCAGCTTCCAATATCCTTTTGCTGAAACTCCTCTCTCCAGAGTTACCAGTGATCTTTTAGTTGCCAAATCCAGTGACCTTTTCTCAGTTTTTATTTTTCTTGACCTCTGTGTAGCCTTTGGCACTGTTGATTATCCTCCTGTCCTTGATACTCTCTTCTGTTTAGGTTTTCAGGACACCACTCCCTTCTGGTTCTCTTAGCTATGTCACGACTCCTAAGTCTCCTTTTTTGGATCCTCATCTGGGTCACTTCCTCTAATTGTAGATGGGTTCCACTGTTCTCTATCCTGGGCTCTCTTCGCTTCTTCTGTATGTCTTCACAATGTTCTCATTAGCTGCCATGGATTTAATTACCATTTCTATGCTGATGATTCTCATCTACCTGTCTTTCCCTAACCCCTCTGTTGACCTTCAGTCTCATATCTCCAACTGCCTTTCAGATATCTTGAACTGGATGTCCATTGGACATCTTTAACTCAACATGTCCAAAGTGGACCCCGTTATCTTTTTCCCTAAACTCTCCTCCCTTCTAAACTTCCCTATTACTATTAAGGGCAACATCCTCCCAGTCCTTCAGACTAGCAACCTATATGTCATTCTCTGCTCCTCACTTTAATCCCCAATATTCAGTCTGTTGTCATACCTGTCAGTTGAACTTTTAAAAATCTCTTGAATGTGCCACTTTCTCTCATGATACTCTTGCTACACTGGTACAGGTCCTTATCACCTCATGTTTGAGCTACTGGAATAGCCTGCTGGTCTGCCTGCCTAAAGTTTCCCTACTCTAAACCATCCTCTATTCAGCCACCAAAGCGATTTTCTGAAAATGCAGGTCAACCATGTCATACACACACACACACACACACACACACACACACACAGAGCAAACTTTAGGGGTTCCCTCTCATCAGCAGGCTAAAATATAAAACTCTCTTTTGGTGTTCAAAGGCCTTCATAATCTACCCTTCTCCTTCTACCTTTTCAGACCTCATATACCACACTCCCAGCCACATACTCTTGGATCCAGTGATACTAGCCTCCTTGCTGTTCCATGGAGACATTCTACCTCTTGGCTCCAGAAATTTTCTCTGGTTGTCTCCCATGCTTATAGCGCTCTTCTCTGGATTCTGGCTTCCCTGGCTTCCTTCAAGTTTCAACTAAAATCCCATCTTCTACAGGAAGCCTTTCCCAACTCCTCTTAGTTCTAGTGCCTTTCCTTGGCTAATTATCTTCAAATTATACTCTGTATACCTTAATTGTACATGTTTGTTTGCATGTTGTCTCACCTATTAGGTTGTGAGCTCTTTGAGGGCAAGGTCTATATTTTGCCTTTCTTGTATCTTAGCCCCTAGCACACGGTAGGCACTTAGTAAAATATTTATTGAACGACTGACTCAACCCAAAGTCAGTGCTTTTCATCCATGTTGTCATTAGCAGGATCATCTCCTGTGGGAACCACCAAGTCCTCCAAGTGGCAACAGAAGGAAATGTGAGATCGTCGATCCTGACATGGTGGGCAATCTTATGCCACCTCAGTCTATGGTAGCATTTCCCTCCAGTGGGACTATCTTAGGGCTATAGAGCTTCCTTTTTCCTTCTGTGAGGACTGTTGGGAAGAAACACCCACAACATTTGAAAATCTGGTACCCTCCAATTCCATCTAAGAGGCAACATGGTATAGTAGAAGGAACAAAGAATTTGGACACAAAGGACTTGGTAATCATAGCCCGTAAGTGCTATTTGACCTTGGGCAAGCCACTTGGTCTGTGTCTTTGCCCTCATCTTTAAAATGAAGGCTTTTTACAGAGTTTCTTTGGTCTAGATCATTTCCAAGGCTGCTTCCAGTTCTCAATTCTATTATATCTGACTGTGCCAGTCTCCAAGGCTCTCTTAGACTTACCCTTGTCCCTTTATTTATGAAACGACAGAAAGAGGCTTTACTGAAGCGGAGAAGAAGTTTATTTTTCCTCTTAACGAAGTAAAAGCAAAGAAACAAGTGGTAGCACGTCATTATAAATATCCATAAATATCAAGTGATAGACAAAATCTAAATAAATAAATAAATACTTTTACTTCCAAAGGAACACTTCTGGAATCATAAGGGGTTTCTCTGCTCTGCCAAAGAGAGGCCTCCCTGATGCCGCTGCTAGTCCTAGAGGACTCAAACCAGTCAGCTATAGAAGTGCTTCTTGGTTTCCCATCCATTTCTTGTGTCGGTGACTCAACAGGAACGGATATTGGTGGTTCCACAACAAAATGAGCATGTTTTAAAAATCTGCTGTGCAAGGGGCAGCTGGATGGAGCAGTGGACAGAGCACTGGCCCTGGAGTCAGGAAGACCTGAGTTCAAATCCAGCCTCAGACCAAACACTCGACACTTACTCGCTGTGTGGCCATGGGTAAGTCAACCCCAGTTGCCTGACCAAAAACAAAAGTCTGTGCACTGCTGTTTAGTGCTGTGCATAGTTTTGTTGTGTATTCCAGAATAGGGACTTTAAGCTCACCTTGAGAAGAAAAAAAAATCGGAGGACTGTTGTTCCTCTAGAAAGTGCAATAGAAGATTCAGGCTCCAATAGTGAGAATATGATAGGAATGAAGGAAAGTAAGCAGAGGAGTGAGGCCTTGTCTGAATCTGTTGTGCTACTTGACATCATTTGTCTGCACTGACCACCTTAGGGGAAGATTTAGAAGAGAGGAGAAAGGGGTTTCATGTAGGAAGATTCAAAGTCAGAAATGGAAGGCTGGAACAAGAAGACCTAATAAATGAGAGTTGAGCCTCAAAGTCCAAGATTTCTAGAATCTCCATATTTTGTGTCCTGTACTGAGTTTTCTTGGGTGTCATGTCCAGAAAACAGGACGGCCTTGGGGAAGTGAAGACTAAGAATGGTCATCCGTAGACTGATCCTTTATTTACTGTTTCTAGACAGCTTAGCCCCAAGACTGTTAACCAGGTGGTTTCTCAGGATTACCTTTGGGGTTGGAAAATGATAGGATTCTAGCTTTATAGGTCTCATTCTGATTTGCAGAATTGGAGAGGAGTAACGAAATGGTATGGATCCAACAGAAAAGCAAAGATTGGCCCTACGGTGGGCTAGAGTTTGTCTGCTATAGAACAAGTCTTAGTTGTTTCACAACCAATGTTCGCCTTCCCACCATCCTCCATTCCTCATTCTTTGGGGAGGCCACAGAAGTGATGCTTTTAGTGTGAAGGGACTCAGCAAACTTGGAGTTAATAGAAGGTGGTGGGTGGCGTTTTAAGAAATCCACTTTTAAGGGAGTGCTTAAGCCAGTGCAGCAGAAGGGAAAGAAAGCACACATTCCTAGCCCATTAAGAAGAAAAAAAGATATATATCTCACTGTCTTATATTCCCTTGTCCTCTTTGACTCTCTCCAGATTTCCCACTGATTACCAATAGAATTTAAACTCCTTTTGCTTTTGTATCCCTGAGGCTTAGAACAATACCTTACAAATAGGAGTCATTTAATAAATTTTTGATGAACTAAATTGAATCAGAGATACACAGCCTGGTCTGAACTCAGAGAACAACTTCAAGACTGAAATTGGCTATTGAGAAAGAGAAATCTGCAGAGCCATAGAAAACCTTGAACGGCTTCTCCCTGTACACATTAGCATTTTTATGGCCATCCAGAATGGTATTGCTAACCCTGGATGAGGAAGTTTGTTAAAGACTTCTCTGAAGAGTTCACATTTATTCCTATTGCAGTGGGAAGCTGTAGACTGAACTGAATGGCCTCAAATTAAGGTCAGCTTAAAAAAAAATTAGTAGACTGGTAAAATACGAAGGTCCAGTGTTCCTCCAAAAAGTGCATAGAGTGTTTTGATTTTCAAGACAGGAAATGTTTTAGCTTCTATCTTTGCCTGACTTTTACTAAGCTTGGACATGACCCCCTGGCCTAGCCTATGATGTAATAAAGGAATGAATGGCAATGTATGTTACTCTATCAGGGAACTGTGGTATGTTTGCTGGTACCTTCTTGGTACCAACCATGGATATAATTTTTCAATATTAACCAATTTTCACTCATCTTTTAAAAACACCTCCCAAAGGGAGCCTCTTAGAAGGGGCTCAAGGAGTAAGATAAGTGAATTTAAGGTTTACCTCATCAGGATAGTAACTTGTCATAAGCAAATAGAGAAGTGGCTGTTTATAAGGTAATATCTCAAGATTATCTGTGGGGTTGGGGAGCCAAAGGACTTTTAGGCTTACAGATCTCATCCTGATTTGCAAAGGAGGAAGAGCACGACGAAAGGGTTATAAACGCAGAAGAGCAAAGGTTGGCTTCAAGTTGGACAAAGTTTGGCTGTCCACGCTAGGACCGAGTCTTATTTTTCAGCCAGTATACTTCTCTACCACCCAGCATCTTCCATCCTTCATCTTAAACTGGAGGAAGCCACAGGAGTGATGCTATTAATATGTCAAAACTTGTTGAAGGCAAAGCCTCTAACAGTTGATTGAAGATGAAGGGAGACCATCCACATTAGGGTCTTGATTGGAATGTCGGGTGCAGGGATGCAGAAGAGAACAGAACTCTACCACTTAGGCTAGGGATGAGGTCATAAGTCTTAGCACACTATTCCAGGTTTAATTCCCATGGGGGTCCTAAGATAGGAAAGGGGAAGAAAGTTGATCTCTCCCTTGTTCTTTAAGGTTTAAAGAGTTCTGGGCCCTTTAAAGATGGGCTAGCTGCTAACAAGATGAATCAGGGATGGTTAAAAGGGATTTTATTGTAGTCTGCTTAAGCAGCCTTGGGGACATGGAGGCATCTTTCCAAACTCATCCTACCAGGGTAGGGCTTCAGCCGATTGCTATTTCTGAGTACTTCTAAAGGGTCATCATTTACTACACTGTTCTCTTCAGCGCTGTGGAGTTCCTGGGAGCAGGGAGTCACCCTTGGTCGGGGTTTCAGCACATTCATTGGGTCCAAGTCAGGACTGTTCTCAGCACTCCTGGTGTGCCGATGGGGTTCGGGTGTATTGAAGTAGATTATGGGGATCTCGTTCCTCCGGGATAGAAACTGGGAGTAAGGAGGTGGGTTCATGCCTGGCAGGAAGGCCCTCTTTGCCTTGCCAAGGCTGATCAGGAAGTTGTTCTGTGGAGAGTGATAGACGTCATATCCATTTTCTAGTGTCTGGTGTTTGAACTTGCAGTTGTCTGGGCTGAAGAAATGCTGAAAGGACAGAGAAGGAACCAGATGAAGGCTGGTTTAATAACTCTTTTTCCAGCTTCAGGGTTGACATAGAAATAGTGTCACATTTATGTATCTCCTTATGGTCTATCGAGCACTTTCCCTTCAATCCTGTGAGGTAGTTAGTATAAGCATTAGATTCATTTTGTCGAAGAGGAAATGGAGTCTCAGAGATATTATGTGACTTGCTGATGGTTGAAAAACCATTAGGGTTGGTGCTGTGATTCTAATCTAAGCTTCCTAAATTCCTGAGATAAGCGCTCTTTTAAATGCAAGGCACTGCCTCTTTGCAAGATAGGCTTGAGACCTTGTGATACATTCCCAAGGCCATTTGGGTTTATCAACAAGGAAGAACTGTTCAGACTCAAGTTGCACGTAGTCATGAAGACCAGGGCTGCAGAGTTCCATGGTTATTGAGTAGTGTTGATGGCAGCCAACTGAGTTCTATGATTGGAGCAAACCATTCTTTTCCTGCCTTGGATATGTTGGCCTCATCCTGCTTTAGGATCTGCTGTAGGGTCAACCATGTTGAAGGTATGTATTCAGACTAGGTTATTTGTCAAGATCAAGGGAGTAATTACTTTGGATCCACAAGACAGTTCTTTGTAAGATATTTGAATGTCTGGGTAAATGTGTTTTCCTCCTCCCAAGCTTATTGTGTACTTAATTACGATTAATTATAAAAGCTAACACTAGGCATCCCTCAGGTTTCTTCTGTTCACTTTACTACAGAGCCAGCTTGCTGAAGCAGGTGATGGATGAGGAAACTGAGAGGGGAAGCTTATAGTGTTAGACAGCAGGGATTGAGCAAGAGAGTTCTGCCTTCCCCAACCAGGGAAAGGTTGAGAGTTAGGAAGAGAAGGAAACGTGGGACAGGATTCTAGTTAAGGAAATTAAAGTAATAACGTGAAAATAACCCACCAAACCAAAGGAGGATTTTCCCACTAGACCTTTGGAAAGGAAAAGACAGTCTTCTGTAGGCAAAAGTTATCTTTGTTAACCTTTCTGCTTTGCTGTGTCCCTTTCCTACCTCCTAGCACCTCCTTTCACCCCACACCCAGGTAGTGAGTGTCCTCATGCTTCATCTGGCTGCCACAGCCACCTGCAGAACCCCATTTAGGGCTGCTATGCCCAGTACTTTCCCATGCTCTAAAATTGCCTCTCCCTATTCCCACCTCCCCTTCCCAATGCGAACAATTATTACATGTTAAAATTCCCATTCCTTCAAGGCAATTAAATTAGTTCATCCTAGGACATCTAGACTTGTATCCTCCTAGAGGGATTTGCATCTTGAAAGTGGCATCTACTTAAATATCTAACTGCTGGGCATGGAGATACAGTGATGCAGAAGTTATGTGTAGCAAAGACGTGATTCAAATCTAGCATACATACTTGACCCCATGCCACACTATCAAGGAGACAGGAAACATAAATGGCACCAGTACCAGTTTCACAACTAACAGTTACTGCCCCCAGGTAATGTAATCTGGTGATGGTGTAACTTCTGAGTTTAAATCATTCAATAATTAGTTTCTTGCACATGCACAAATCCTTTGGTTGAAAAAAAACAAGCCTGATTTGGAAATGAAAGAATGCATAACTGAAGCTTTCACTTGCAACTCCCACATATTATAGTTATGGTTTTTAATCCATTTGCTCTGTGGGATGCCAGATACTGAATTTAAAGCTTGCTTTTCAAATGTGTCACTCCAGCTATGTCCTCCCACAATTTAGCATCCTATAAGTATACTTAATTGTATGAAATAGGCTACCAGAGTTGCAAAGTATCTTTGAAGTGGTCTAATATACCCTCTCACTTAACAGATAAGAAAACTGAGGCTCAGATAAGCTTAATGACTTGCCTATTTGTAAGAGGAATAGTAGGATCAGATTCCTTTTAAAAGGATGGATTTGGATCCAGAATCCTTTGTTCTGTTGAACTTCAGGCATGAGGGCAGACAGAACCTAGGCAAACCAAAGATCCTAGTAGTCCCCCTGAGGCTTGGTCTTCAACAAAGAAAAATGAAGCATTGAGATAATTCAGGTAGATTCACCACATTTTAATGGCATCAGCAGCTTGGTCTGGGAAAAGGTACCAAGGGAAAAAGCAGTCCATCAGAATATAAGCCAGATGGGATTATTCCATTCTAGAATTCCGTGATTCGCTCATAACAGCCGGACAATGACCTGCAGGTCACAACTAATGTCTGAAGACTCACCGATCCAAAGATGTTGCCCCTGAGGTCCATACAGAGATACCTCCTGCTCATCACACCAGTTATTATGACTAGCCCAGCATCCTCTGATCTGATCATCAAGGCACCTGTTGAGAAAAACATCTGAGATCAAAAACTTGCCACATTGTCTTATTTCTGCCTTCACACAAGCCCTAAAATGCTTTCTCTTTTATGAACCTTTCCTTAGTTGATTAGGAAAAAATAAAATAACCCATTCCAACACTATATTATAATTATACAAGTGAGCGGCTCCAGCTTCCTTCCTTCACAATTTACCATCTTACAAGCGGAATTAATTATGTGGACTAGAATCCCAGGACTGTAAAGTACTTTAGAGGTGGCCTAATCTAACCTCATTATAGCAGAAATTGAAGCTTACACAAGCTAAATAACTTGCCTTTTTATGAGGAATCAGTAGCAGTAGCTCGTATTCCTTTAAGAATTGTCCATCTATTTTAAATTTAGTAGCCATCAATACATTCTAATCCACTAACAAGCCCTACCTTTTCCCCCCTCCCCCCCAAAAAAAAATCAATCACAGAAAAGATTTAGCACCAACTGTGTGCTCAGTACTATGTTAGACACTGGGGTTATAAACACAAAAATGAAATGAGTCCTTGCCTTCAAATAACTCATATTCACCTGGGGAGAAAAAATATACACATAAGATATATACAAAATAAATACAAGGTAATCAGGAGAGAGACACTAGTACCTTAGCCAAGATTATTCAGGAAAACATGAACTTCCATTTAATTTTTTTGATTTTTAATGTTAATGAGAGAGTTAAATCATCTTCTTTCCATGTCCCCTTCTGCATTTTTCCTGTTATTTCTCCATATTTTGTTGCTGTTATTATGAGTTACAATTATTATCATTTTGTTGCTTTTATTATTATTAAATAGTTATAATTAGTGTTTACATTATTGTTTTTGGTTCATTTTTCTCTATTTTGCTTCATTTTCTGTGCCTTCCTATATATTTTTTGTATTCTTCATATCTGTTATTTCTCATAATATTCCGTTACATTTGTGAAAGGTAACGTTGCCTGATAAATTTGAGCCCTACAATACACTTGGTAAAATTATTGGATATAAGGGACTTTCCCCAATCTTCTTTGGTTTCAGTCCCTTCTTCTGTTGATTGTCTCCAGTTTTTCCTATGTTTATCTCATTATAACATAGTTATCTGTATATTCCTCCATTAGATTGTGAGCTCCTTGACATCAGGGACTATCTTTTGCCTTTCATTTTGTCCCCAGCATTTACCACATTGCCTGGCACATAGTAGGCACTTTAACAAATGTTTATTAACTGTTAACAAGACAATTCAACATAAGGATTCTACCCCTTTCAGATTTTTTTAGTAGCCCATTTGCACTTTGTAGAAGGAGTAACCCTTTCAGACTTTAGCCAGTGTTAAGGAAGTATACTCCTTTAAAAGATGTGGGAAAAGTTCTCCCAAAAAATTAATGGAATGATGGAAGTATCAGTTACATACCTGGTGGCCTTTTAAAAGCTTGAGCAAGTTTGGAGGAGTTAGTAAAGAAGAGATCCAGCTATGGAGGAAGAACTCAGCTCTTAAGAGGGACTCCTCTAACACCTTTTTCTTTCTGCCTTTTCCAAAGTGTATGTGTATCGGATCATGGTAACACAGGATTCTTCTCTTCTATACATTCCCCACTCTCACTCCCACTGTCAGCACTGGCATCTTGCAATACAGCACCTTAATCAGTAGGAGACATCATGCTAAGCAGAAGGCCCATCCAGACAGTTCGGAGTAGGGTCAGCTTGAACTGTGGCAAACAGCTGACCTAGGGAGTGACATACCCAGCAGAGACAGGGGAAGCAGATTGACACCACCAGGAGAAGGAAAAAGATATGAGGACGATGCAACACCAGAGGTAATGTGTGTTGCTTTGGCTTTGTGTGTTCCAACTCTTTGTGTGTGCTTACTCTTTCCGCTGCCACTGTGTGTGTTGATGGGCAAATACGCTGCAGGTTCATAGGAGCAGCCTTTTGTCATTACTCTTTAAGTAATTCTATTTCAATAAATGAGTTTTGTTGATAAACACAGTGTTTTTATTTATGTGTTCTGGCTGATTTTAAAATAGAGTAATGTTGACAGGATCGGGGGAAACACACTGCACATGTATCTATCAGTTTTGCTCAGCTTTTCCTCAATCACTAGACTCATGGATTGCTTCCAGGTTTTTTTTGCTGTTGATTTTTAGTTATGCAATTCCAGCTTCATTTCCAGTGCTTCTGTTGGTGTTCTTTTTTGTATATTTTTCTTCTATCATTTCTGCCACCATTTCTCGTAATATTTTTTTCACTTTGAATTCATTTCTTGATGTTGGATAATTTTTCTCCCTAAAAACAATTTTCTTTGAGGGTGTCTGGTAGTTTGTGTTTCTTTGTCGGCATTTTTGCTGCTTATGTTATTATTGTATTTTGCTGCTTTCTTATGAGCTCTGTCCTGAAAAGTGAGCTCAGGTTTCTATAGTGTAGTAAAGCCTGGGAACATATTTTCAGAGCTGGAAGGTCATCTAGTTCAACTCACTCATTTTTACAGATGAGGAAATCACAGTCCAAAAAGTCCATCAGTCAACCTGATGGAATTATAAGGTCATGACCACTGAATGAAAATCACTGGCCATGGCTTTGATGGTCTTTAAAAAGCCAGCTAGCCAGCTTGGGAGTCATTTACCCTGAAGAAAATTCACTTTCTACCATTTCCCTTTCCTTCTTGTTTAGGAAGAGGGAAAGGGGAATTTCTTCTCTACCTCCCTTTACCCTCCTCCATTATTTCTGTCTTACAGCAGAAACACATACAAGTGTCCAAGGAGCCCAGCTTCAGAGTCCAATCAGAGAGAGAGACCTTGGTCCAATAATTTAGCTTAGAGATTGGAATGAAATGAAATGAGATACTCTTAGAATATCTGATACTCAACAAAAGAAGGTTTGCTTTCTGTATTCAGAAATACAGCACTGATCAGTTGGGTAAAGCTTTTCTGTCTCTATATTGCTTGTGATAGTGCACAGTCAAAAGCCTGAAAGAGGAGCCAGGTGACGCTTTGTGCCTGGTTTTTGTATTTGTCAGGGACTTTGATCTTCGGTCCCCTAAGCTAATTAAATTCACAGGACAATTTCAGTACCTCATAAGGGAAAACTAATCAGTCTTGTGTGAGTTAGAGCCTTAAGATCATTACTTCTACAACAGTCTGGTTCTTGGAGCTGGGACCCTGTTGCTCAAGAAATGGTAGGCCTCAGAGCTAAGATTCCAAGAGAACAGAACTGCTTAGGCTACTGCTGATCCTAGGACGTGGGTTCCAGTTCTTTCCAAAAGTGCATTGCCATGCCCCATGGGCCTGATAGTGGAGTTGTAAGTTACCTTGGTCACATGTCTCCCCTACATGTGTGCCTGTATGCTAGTGAACCTAATGTTGTCCATTCTTCCCATTGATGCTAGGTATATTTGTGGAACAGTGCCCCATTCTTATGGAGGAGATGTTTTGTTGTTATTGTTCTTACTATACAATTTCATTACTATGAAAATTATTTACTGTTCCCTTGTTTTGAGCTAATTGTTTCCTCTGGCTGACTAGAAGTTAAGTAAATATACCAGTGGGACTCATGGTCTATAGTTCAAGAAGTAGGGACCCACAGAGCACCCTTAACCTGAGGTTGTTTTACTCTTTAGGAGAGCTTAACTTGCAAGTATGAGTTGGGGAGGTGGGGAGGGGGGAGATGGTTCAAAGAGGGTTTTACAGGAGTGTTACTGTCCTCAGTTGTAGATAAGTAAGTTGAGGCTAAGCAGCATTAAGTGCCTTACCAGTGAACACACTGCAGATAGCAAAGCCAGAACTTTAATAACTCCTGACTTTCTAAAACATTTCCCCTACACATTACTGCTTTTCTGTTCACTTGCTTATGCTCTTCATATTTGTAGTAATAACAGTTGTAATTTAGTAAATGTAATTTACATAAATAGCAATTTACATTGTTGTAAGCTGCTCATTTTATCTATCTGGCCCCAGACCAGACCATGTTTCACTTTCATATTCTGTTCATTCTGCCTACCAAGTGATTTTGTCATCTCTCTGAAGTTGCTGGCCCACATCCCTCCACACGGACTAGCGTTCTCCGTGCTGGACCTCTATACCAGACTTACAGATCCATTTCACCAGTCCTAGAAGAAGTTAATACACTCATTGATGAAACACTTACTCTGGGGCCTGGCTGTCTTGATTAGTGACTGAGTGAATGAAAACTTACATGGCTAACTTTATTTAGATGGCCCCAGCCTCCAGCCCAGGCCATACTTAATATTTAATTACTTAATATTTCAACTGGCCATCTACCCGGGCCATATTGCTGTCTTCCTTATCACAGTATATATTCCCTGCCCCTCTTTCTGTCTCTTATTCTGAGCATAGCAATCAAATGAATAGTACTATTTATTCCTTCTGGAAAGGTACTCAAGTCAACTGTGTCAGCTGACTGCCTTAATGGATCAATTCACCATCACTGCGACTCCCAGGATCAAAATTCCCTTCCCGTGTCACCACTTCCCCATATGTTTTGTCTGTCCCTATTAAAACGGAAGCTCCTTCAGGTCAAGAAGCTTCTCACTTTTAGATTTATATCGCCAGGTTTAGCCAATGTCTGGCATTCATCGTATAATGCTTTTCTTTTTGCAAAGTATTTGTAAGCCATTTTATCTCATTATATCTCAGATGTATCAAAAGAGGATTAAAGCTCCACTGTACCTCAGTCAATACTCGTGTTACCTTGGGCAGACCACTCAATCCTTGTGCATCAAAGATTATTATACAAAAGCCAGATGATCACTTGTCTGGAATGTTAGAGAAGGGATTCTTGTTCATGTATGGGTTAGATGCAATGCCCAGGAAAGTCCTTTCCAGCTCTGAAACTATAATACACAGGGAGTAATGTGAAAAACTCCCCTTTTTGGTAGTGTTAGACAGGCCAAAGAGGAATATTTGCTTTGGCAGTTTGGTACCTGTGAGTACCTATGAATAATATCTGGTGCCACCTAGTGGGAGTGATGAGGATATGCATGAGGCCGTTACAAGGACCCTGCTGGCTAAGACTGATGGCCTCGGTGGGAGAAACCACGTGGAGAGCAACACCTGATACCATCTTCCCTGAGCTCTGCAGCATTGCAGGAAGACCTGCCTGGCAACAACAGCTGGGAAGAGTAGGGCAAAAAAAAGGAAGTATTTGGGACCCAAGTCCTGTGTAGACCGTTAGGAGAGGGTCTCTTGAAGGAGGGTGCCATTATTATTTTCCAAGAATTCTGTTGTGAATTACGTTTTGTTTCCTTCCTCCTTTCAGTAAGACTTCCTTTAATTCTGTGAACTGCATCCTTGCTGGTGGGGAGTTGCTCTTGGGATATGCTAGACCTGGAGTTAGGAAGACCTGAGTTCAACTCTTGCTTTAATGTCACTTAACCTATGTCTGCCTCAGTTTCCTCATATATAAAATGGAATCATGATACCACCTATCTTTTAGGATTGTTGTGAAAGTAAAATGAGATAATTTGGTAATACACTATATAAATGCTAGCTGCTGCTACTACTGTTATTACTACTATTGTTTTTTAATTTTTTTTAAACTTTTTTTGTTACTACTATTATTATTATTAACAATCATCATCATCATCATCATCATCATCATCATTATTATTATTACCAGGTAGAGATTTTCTCAAGTTTATGCATTTAGGGCTGCCATAGTAAGAAAATTCTGAAAAGTATACTTAAGCCTTTCAAGGCCAGATACCACCGGAGCAACTCATTAAACCTTTCTGCCTCCTGGACTAAAGCATAGAATAAAATGCCTTTAGATTGACAGTTCTCACAATAGGGAAAAAAAATCTGAATATTTTACTTTTTATGAGGTATTTACCCTTTCTGATCCTTAACTTCTTCATCTATAAAATGGGGATGGCATGATGCCTGCTGTACAGACTTGTGAAGATGAGCTTTGAAAAGTGAAAGATGCCTCACAGGCTAGGGTTGTTGAAATACGTGTTCTGATGCTTTTAGGACTAGAAGGCATCTTTTGGAAGTTGGACCAGCAAGACCTCTTTCATGCCTCCTTTCCTCCTGTATAACAGCCCACTAGAGAGGCAGGCAACATGGCATGAGGAGAAGAGAGTGGGCCTTGGAGTGAGGCCGACGTGGAGAGGCTTACCTGATGCTGTCTGATCTGTCTGGCAATGCCAATCCAAGTCTCACCTGACATATACTAGCTGTGTGACCCCAAACAAGTAGCTTACCCTCATGGTGTGCTGGGCAGTTAAAACTATGAATTGCAGAACAGCTGCCAAATCTGTATCAGTAGATGTTTCCACACTGAGGGTTACCTATACCAATGAAATCATGGGTCTAGTAAAAAAAAAATGCTATAACACTATATATCACAAGGAAGTGAGATAAGCTTCTGAGATGAAGCGCCAACATATTTTGTCAAGTACTGTCCAGTGGGAAGCCCAAGAGCAAGCAGAATGTCATTCAACAAACACTAAGTTCATACTTTGTGCCAGGCACTGTGCTAAGCTCAGGAGATTCCAAAGAGGGGTTGTGTATTTATGCCTTACAAAACAGGTAAGGGATAATTGGAAAGGAAGTTTGAGTGTCTATCTGAAGAGAAGAGGATCTCACCCAACAAATACCAGTACCACAGTTTCTCAAGAGACCCTGTCCATTTAAGCAAGTTCAAATGACTCACTGTTTTGCTTACTGCTGACCCTCAGCTAAGCATTATCTTCTCTAAACCTCTAGTGTCCACCCATAAAAGTGGTTTGAAATGCCTGGTCCCTTCTGACCTCCCAGGGAGTCTGGGAGGATGAATGATATGTGTGGAAGGATTCTCC